GCTCATCCCGATCTTGTTCTCTCTGCGCTGCAGAAATCCCTGAGGTACCCATCTTAATTCCCCTTTATTTGTCAATTAAACACAGCGTAGACAGTTTCCTTATAACCTCGTTTTCGGATTCTCCAAGAAATTATGTACAACCCCAAAATAATTGGACACAAATAAACCAACATAGCAATATGGTTTGTTTCAGTTTTAGTATTCGAATTTAGTGGGTGAATGTTCGACTTTTGTTAACTACTTAAAAGATTTTCCCCTTCTCTAATGATTCTCTATGTAAAAAAAAAAATAATAATAAACCAAGATAGTTTACAGAAATATTTTGTCCGTACAAAACTGACCATATTTGAAGGGACCAACCAAACTGCAAAATTGACAACTTTTTCACTTGAATAAAAAAAGAATTCATTTTATCTTAGAAAATAAATTCAGCAGAGAATTCGTTCTGTAAAAGGGAATATTAGGCTTTTCCTTGTCCTGTTTGTCCTTGGGTGACAGATTTCTTGTAGATAAATTTTGCCGATTCATAGTGGTTATTGTGTTTATGCAGGACTCTCCAGTTGGAATACCTGGATCTATATCTCATCCACTGGCCAATCAGTGCAAAGCCAGGAAAATTAAAGTTGCCAATCCCCCAAGAGGAGCTTCAACTAATGGATTACAAGTCAGTATGGGGTGCCATGGAAGAGTGTCAAAGGCTTGGCCTCACCAAGTCTATTGGTGTCTCCAACTTCTCTTGCAAGAAGCTTGAAAACATATTCTCCTTTGCCACCATCCCCCCATCCGTGAATCAAGTGAGTAGTTGACATTAATTTTATCCGTTACATTCTTTCCATGTTGCAAATATTAGAGTACTGGGATTGTTTAGAATGGTTTTGTGGTTTTAACACAATGAATATTGGATTACATGCTTTGGAGTGTAATTTACCACATTAAGAACTTTTTGATGGATTATTGACAATCAATATGATTGGCTCGATGTTGATTATAAAATGATGTTACAAAAATGAATAAAGAAGAGGTAATGAGACTTTGTCTTGTTTCAGGTGGAGATGAACCCTCTCTGGCAACAAAAGAAGCTAAGGGAATTCTGCAAGGCCACAAATGTAATTGTTACAGCCTATTCGCCTTTGGGAGCAATTGGCACTTGGTGGGGCTCCAATCATGTTTTGGATAACGAAACACTAAAAGAGATTGCTAAAGCTCATGGAAAGACTGTTGCTCAGGTTCTTGTACATTGTTTAAACACAAATCTACATGGTTTACATCACTCTTTGATATCAGTGATTTTAATAATATATATTTGGGACATTGGTAGGTTTCTCTGAGATGGTCGTATGAGCAAGGAGCAACTTTTGTGGTTAAGAGCTTCAACAAGGAGAGGATGAAGCAGAATTTGCAGATATTTGATTGGGAATTAACCAAGGAGGATCACAAGAAGATCAACCAGATTCCGCAACGGAGGTTCTGGCTTAATGAGGGATTCATCTCCCCTAATGGACCCTTCAAAACCCTGGATGAACTCTGGGATGGTGAGCTTTAGACCTTAAATTGGTTTCATATTTCAGACAAATGTGAGTATATGCGTGCCGACATTATGGGAAGATCCTCAGTGAATTTGTTAGGACACTTGGTCTTAGTAGTTTGTATGTTAGCTTGGATTTGGCAATCCCATATTACGTTAGGGACTATTTGGGGTGAATATTTTCTGTATGAATAAATAATCTGTTCCGTGTTTTAAATAAAACTTGAATATTAATGGATAGTTTTCTTTCACTACCTCTACCTCCAAAGCTTCCTAAAATTTGTTATAACTTGCAGAAAGGATAGAAAAATTTAAGCATTTGAAAGAATAAGCTCCAAAAAACTATGTATTCAACAGACTAAGAATACCTCAATACCAACATTATTGAATCATATCAAAAAATTAAAAATAAAATGAAAATCGTGTGTGGGCGTGTGTTGAGATCCATGGTGGTCTTCTTCAGTGAGTGTTAACACATATACATTAAGCTTCTATTTGGATTGAGGGAGTTGAGGGGAGAGGGGAAGATAGTGAAGAAGATATCTCTCCTTTATTTGTTTGGTTAACTTCATTAAGGAATGGGGAATGAGAGGAAGATAGATGGAGGAGCGGGTATACTAACTGACATGGTGTCCCAAACCAATCAAACAATGAAACCTAATCAAATAAGGCCAACTCATCTTTCCGTAAAATATCTTAGCACAGTTTAATGAAGAATTTCTTTAGCCCTTCTCTCCTCTACCTCTTCACTGTTTTCAACTCATCTCAAATTCCTCTCAGAATTTTATTTCGGCCTTTCTCTTCTTGTCTTGCTTCTTTTCCTGAACTCCTATCACCTAAAACTCTATTTTGAAATTTCGATTTTGTCTCCTCCACTTTCCTTCATTCTGACTTTGAGTTAGAAGTAGTGCTTTTGGTGATGTAATGTAAGTGTAAAGATGTTAATTTTCAAAAGCAAAATGCTGTGTAGCCATCAAATTTTCAATTTTTTTTTTTTTTTAAGGACGTGACAAAGATGTTGCAACAAAAAGAGAGGGATGTCAATGATGAATCAATTTTATTTCCATTAGTTTTTTTAGTGATTCTTAAATCCCCTCACTCTTTGTTCCCAAATGGCTAAATTGCATAACCAATCAACGTGAAACAGTTTCTAGAAAATGAGGGTTAAAAAGGAACAAGTTATAAGTATGGGATCTGGTGGAGGCAAGCTTCTTAGGGAGGTGGGTTATGATTGCCATCGTTGTTTTGAGAGACAAAGTAGTGGGTGAAGGAGGAAAGGGAAGATTTGGGAGGATTGGAGAAGAGAATGCATTTGAGGGGGAGGTAACGGGTGAAAAAGGGAGCGGAGAGAGATCTCGTTAGACATTCTTCATTAATGTGCGTTGATATGTTTTTAATGAATTTAATGAAATGATGAGGTGGACTAATTTAATGAATTGTCATTGTTTGATTGGTTTAGGATACCATATTAACTTGTCTACTTGTGATATGTTAGAATTTCTCATAGTTTAGTTGATTATGTTGAAATTTTTTATATGAACTTTAGCTAGTTGTATTTGATTTTTAAAATTGGATCAAATATAAATTTGGTAAAATTTAATTAAATTATATATTTAAGTCGACTTAAATTTTATTTTTATTTTATATAGTGTGATATGAATAAATATAAAAATGAAACTAAAGATTAATTACTTGATGAGAGTACCTAAAAAATTATTATAATAAATTAAGTTCCTTCTCATATTCACAAAATCCTACCTCTATAAATAGTGAAGTTAAAAAGTGATAAAACCCATAAATTGTCACCATATAGAAGTTGATTATGAAGAAAAAGATTTAAATCTCAATATTAATTATATTAATTTTATAAATTCTTATATGAAATTTTAAATTATAATATTCCTAAATGTTTCTTAGTATTCTAATCCTGTGTATTAATTATAAAGATTAAAATATATAATTTATTTATTTTATTATATCTTAATATGAATTTTTAAATTCTAAAAGACTAAAACATCATTCAAATACTTTTCACGGGGCAAAAGGTACCCGTTTATCCTTTAACTTTTTAAATTTGAGACATTTTACTCTTCATATTATAATATATGATTTTTTACCCTTCACGTTTCTAAATATATGATTTTTTATTCTTCATGTTTTCGAGTTTAGGGAAATAAAGTAAAATTTAACAATAAAAAAGTCACGTGCGGCACCTCCATCGTTAATTTTCGTCATCTATTGACATGCTCATGCTAATTCAGATTTTTTTACACGAAGGCAAATCCAGCTTGCATCAAGCTGAAATTCTACCCCAACAATTTAGTTTTTTTTTTCGTTCCTCACTTTCCTCTTCCCTTCTTCAACCATTTTTTCAACTTCTGCAAATCTCTAACATTTCAACCAATCTATTCATCTCAACCAATTTTCATTATCATCATCAAACAACAAAACCCACAAAAAACAAAAAGAAAAAAAAGGAAATTTGTTGCCACTGGGTTACATCGAACCCGCGCCTGGGTTCATTGGAACTCAGGTGAGGGTTCAATGGAAGCCAGGCATGGGCTAGATGGAACCCAGGCTTGGGTTTGATGGAACCCCAAGCGCTGGGTTCAAACGAACCCAGGTGCGAGTTCCATGGAACCCAACGCTTGGGTTCCCTGAAACCCACGTTGGGTTCAATGGAACCCAGCGCCTGGGTTCGGTGGAACCCCAATGCTGGGTTCCAACGAACCCAAGCGCGAGTTCCATCGAATCCAATGCTTGGGTTCCCTGAAACCTACGCGGGGTTCCATCAAACCCAGGCCTAGGTTTTGGTGTGGGTTCCATGGAGGGCTTCTCTCAGCAAAGAATTATGTTGGGTTCCAAGGAAAGGAGAAGGAAAAACAAGAAAAAAGAAAGATTTTTTTTTTTTTCATATTATTATTTTTTTATGTTATTATCATAAAGTCCAAGCTGGACTTGCCAACATGTAAAAATATTTTAAGTTGGCATTGACACATCAAGGTATAACAGAGACTAACATGCATGTGTCGCATGTGATCTTTTACCATTAAATTTTGCTATATTTTCTTAAACTCGAAAATATAAAAGATAAAAAATTATATATTGTAATATGAGGAGTAAAACGCCTCAAATTCAAAAAATTAAAGGGCCAATGGGTACCTTTAGCCCTTTCCACGGACAAGCGGGCAACAACTTTTAATTAATAGTTTCTTGTAGAAACTGCATGCCCAAAATAATCTATAAAAAAAAATTTTCATACCTTAAGAAATAAGTAAGGTATTGTTATCGCAATGGTAGTTGATTCTTTAAATGATAATACATTCAGAGAATATGAGGTGAATTGGGAACAAAAGTTTGAGAATAATTTGAGCGTATTCAAGTTTCAAACTAAGTTTTAGTCTAATGAAATTACTTGAACAAAGACTTAAGCCTAGACAAGTTTCAAGCTGAGTTTGAGCATATATTGAATAGTTAATTGAGTCAACTTCAAACTTATAAATGCCCAACTCAGATGGTAATTTAGATTAGCATATAGTATGATGAATTTTTTTAATTTGTATTTTTAATAAATATTTTTTTATAAATTAATATTAAAAAATAAAAATTAATTTTTAATTTATTAATTTGATATCAATATTAAAATTAATATTAATTTTTATAATTTATATATTTATTATAAAAATGTACCATCAATTTGCATTTTAAATATATAAATTAAAAAAATCTTTTTAAGATATGTCAATAAAAACTTAAATAATTTAAGTACTTATAAACAAAAATTTAATTAAATTATTACTTACTATTTTAAAAATCTTGATTTAACCATGGGTAATGAAAATTCAAACCCTTGCAAGTTGTAACGATAACTAATTATGAAAAATATGAAAATTAGGACATTTTGACGTCAAAATATCTATCACAATTGTCAAATAAATGAGTTCTTGATTAGAAATCCACAAAATCAACAATTGTTATAGACATCTTAAATGTCAATATATCTTAATTTTTTCATAGTCACACCAATTATTTATGTACCAAAAAAAAAGTACTTTTAAAAGTTCAAACTAATTTGAACCGAATTGAATTTATTCCTGCCCAGAATTAAATTCGGGTCCCTCAAAGCCTACTATTTAGCCCAACATTAAAATTGGCCGCTTAATTGTATCTTAAATTTTACCTGTCGTAACGGTAAGTGATAGCAGGCTCACAAATAGACCTGACAAACAGGAAGGTTAGGTTGGGTTAGGGTCAAATCAGAACTGGTAACGAGTTAAAATGGATTAAGTTAAAACGGGTCACGGATCAATGAAGACAAATCTTAACTCGTTCATCGTGGGTCACAGGTCAACCCGTGGGTTGACCCAATTAAATTTTTTTTTTTTATAATTTGTACCTATTATAATTCAAAGAAAATTATTTAAAAGATTTAAAAAAGAAATTTAACATCTTATAAAAATAATTTTTTTTATTAATTTAATATATACATATTTATAATTTCTCATAATCAACTTCTTTATTTCCTTTAAAAAAACAACGCTAATCAAATTTAAGAACAATACACTTATAAATCTTAATAGTAAAAAAAAAAAAAGCAATAATAACATGACAACCAAAAAACACAAACCCCATTGGAACATATTTGTTTTAGTCATTGCTTTCAAAAAATAATCAATTGAATGCATCTAAGTAAGCAAAAGAGAAAATCAAGTAAAATTTTTACTTGGAATGGAAAGAAAACTCAAAAGTATAAGTAAGTAAACAACTTATCTTGAAGTCTTTAGAGAGAAAAGTTGGTGACAAAAAGAGCACTTGTCAGACTCATAGGAGAAAAAAAGAAAGAGTTGAGTGGACGCAACGGTGACTCGATAAAACTAAGATCTAAGTCTAAGATAATGTTAAAGACTAAAGAGAAAATGTGGAGTCAAAACTTGAAAGTCAAAAGCTATATGGACTATGGAGATTGAAGAATATGAGAAGAGTTTTCAGTTTGAAAAGTTAGAGTTTTCGAGAGTATTAGGGCAAGTAAGAATAGGAAAGGTCGAGAGGTGAGTTATGAGTGAAATTGGATTATTTTTACTTTTAGAAGATGATAAGTCAAGAGAATCAATTAGTTAATTAGGGAATATTAGTCAATTATTAGAGGTTTAGGTGGAACTGAGAATTAGAAAACAAAATAAATAAATAATAAATTTAAAAATTTTAAATTTTTAGACGGGTAAACGGGTCAAATCGTTAACCCAATGAGTCAACCCGTTATTAACCTGTAACCCATCGGATTCTCTTAACGGGTCATTAACGGATCACGGATTATAAATATATGACCCTAACCCGTTTTAAACGGACGGGTAATGGACGGGTTAACAGGTTGAGTAAAAAATTACCAAGTGTACTCACAAACAAATCAACAGTGATTTTGATTGTTGCCTTTGGCCCATTTTAAAAGTTGGCCAGTATTGCTATAGAACCTCATCCTTAATCTCATTTTTGGCAAAACTCATCTTCCCACAAATCATGGTATCATTTCCCTTTTGAGAAACATTTCGCCAGTCCGGCCAGTATAAAATTGCACCGACCCACTCATGGATGATTGGCCAAGTGGAACCCCTCACACTAATCCAGGGGGTGACCAACTGTTAATCTGATTGATTTCTTAAGAGCTATTTGTCTTAATAGTTTAGAGGTTAACTAATCTCATTTAATTTGATAGTTATTAATTGTTATTAGTAATCATTTAAGTATTTTTATTTAGCAAATTAAATAAAATTATTAATTATTAATTTTAAACTAATATATCAAACAATACTTTACAATATTATTTCAGAACGTTGTTTTGCAAATCCACGCAGTGCAAAGTATACTTAACTTTTCAAATGTTACCTATGATAATGTTACACACTTACAAACCCGTGTAGCATATTGATGGATTTGATCTCATGCCATGTGGTTGGTTTTGTGAAAGAATTTTCTAAGAAAATTGTGACCCTAGAATTATTGGATTATTTAATTTCATCCTGTTATTATCAATCAACAACTTCAAAACAGTTTCAATGTCAGTTGAAAACAAGCTAAAAAATATCTCAGGATTGTGATTCCAATGAAAACAGTCTTCCTTTCTCTATGATCATGTTCTGTTTTTTAATCTGCAGTTGTTGTATTTGAATATCATTTTCATGTGCATGCCAACTCACATGTGTTTCATTTAATTATTTCTTTATACTTGACCCTAAACAAACCTTAATTGATGTCAGAATTAATTTGTGATGGATAGATATTAAAGTACATGTTGCGTCCAATTAGAAATATTCTCCTCTGGCTTTCAACTAACAAGAAGTTCTATTTTCCGGACTTCATTGTTGAGAAATATAGTACTCAATGGAGATGTGTTTATAAAAAAAGGTATTTTGCAACCCAAATTACATTAAGTTGTAAAATATTGTATTTATAAATATGTGTTAATAAAAATATATTTTATAATTTTAATTATATTAAATCAAAAAATATAACTATTAAATAATGAAAGATCCCTGGATAAGAGGCAAACGCCTCTATCTAATGGTTGGTGTTTTGCAAAATCTGTGTATTGCGATTATCTAATACAGTGGAGCAGATGAGGACTCCGCAGTTGAGCTAGATGTATGTATGTTGTCAGCTAAAAATATCTTCATTTGTGAATGCGAAATGTGGAAAAAAGTGGATATAATCTAATCTACATCCACAAGTATGTCAGCTCTGCTTGCCATGATAATGTGGGGGGACCCCTTCCACAGATTTTTTTTTAAAAGCGCCTTGGTGCTAGGTACTGTTGGAGCTAGCGCCCCCCTAAACTTTAGTAAAAATAATTTGGTCCACGAAGTTTTATTTTTATTATTTCCATCCTTAATTATTTTATATCCTTTTAATCATTTTTTAATTTTCTATTATTGAATATTACTTTTAGTGATGATGACAAAGATGAAGAAAATAAAGATAATTTGAAAGATGTGGAAGCTAAAAATTTTCAAGATCATCCTTTCACAAAGTGTTTATATTATATCAGCAAACACAAGATGCATGATAATCGGATAAATGCAAAGTAGAATTGGAGGTCCTACTGATGATGACTTCTTTATTTTATAAGAGTGGTTGAAACATTAAGAAAAGTGATTAAATGTAGGTGACACGTTAATGGATTTGATTATCACTCCCGTGACAATAAAGAAAAAGGAAAAAAAGATTGATTTGGAAGGCAATATACATGCCCTGCTCCCCCTCTCCTCTCTTTCTTATTTTTAACCTCAACTAAATTCTATCCATTTCTTCATCTTCAAAATTTTAAAACAGTTTGGATTCTTATTTTTATAGGTATATACTCTTGCTCTTCTGTTCTGTTTCTGTTTTGTTTCGAACTTGGCGTTTCAAATTTTATTACATTGAAGTGCTTAGTGTCCAATTTTCCAGGAAAATTTTGAGGGTGAAATGGAAGGTAGACAGGTTGTGAAGAAGGATCTGAAGGTGGATATTCCATCGGAGACTGGTGGCATGGTTGATTCGCAGGTGGCACCAGGAACCGGGCAGGGTTCAGCAGGAATTACCAGGCAGCAGAGTATGACAAAGAGTAACTGCCTGTGCTCTCCGACAACACATGCTGGTTCATTCAGGTGCAGGCTTCACCGTGCCCCGAGCCTCCAGCGTACCAAAAGTATGGACACTGCTGCAAACCGGGACTCTGCATCCAGGGACTAATTCCACCTCTGCTGAATCTGATTAATGCAAAATTATACTTCTCAATGTATTTTATTCCCATCTATGTATATGTACAAATATAATATAATCTGGGTGTTATTGGGTCCTTGATGACGCCCTTATGTTTCTATGGATTAATGTTCCAAATTTATCATTCAGTTTGAACTAGCTAAAAAAATATCAATCCAACTGAAAATGATCAAAGTATCACTAGTGAGACGCCACTAACAATTTTTAGCTAATTCTAACTGAAAAACTGTCATCTCTTATTGTTTTCTTAGAATTTTTTTTTTTTTTTTAATTTTCTTTGTCTTTTAAACGTTCTTCTATGATTTCTTACGGTATTCAGTTTCAGTTGTTTTAGATTCAATTGATGTTAACAGAAGTTGTAGTAGGAAAAGGAATGGAGCCCATCTACTTGAAATTTATTGAGGTTTGTGGAAATGGAAATCTGAACTACCACCCAAGGGTAGTGGAACATTGGACCCCACCCCCACAAATGGGCACCCATGCCCTTGTCACAGATATCGAAAAGAGCAGGTCAAACTTCATTTAATGATCATTCAGAGTTATGTACATGTATCCTGAAGAATATAAATACACCTGACAGGTAGTTTAACACTGCACCAAACACATAAGATTTAATATTAAGACTGATTTTGAGTGAAAATATTTAATATTTTGAAAAAA